GAAAAAATTATCTTAAGTGAAGTAAGCCAGGCCCAAAGAAACATAGGTCCCATGGTTTCCCTTATTTGCAATAACTAGTATATGTCTGAGACAAGCAGAAAAGGACAGATAAGTTGATGTTACGGGAACGAACCCCAAGATAAGTATTCAAATGTTTTTTTTGTTTTTGTTTTCCCTTTCATGCAATTGTTTCTAACATATTTATAAGATGATTTCTTTGTTGCTTTGTATGTCCCTCCCCCACAGTATAACCCCTGCTTTCACTGTATTTGATGTTGGTATAATTTGTGGAGGGGAAGGGAAAAAACAAATCGTTTAACTAGAGATACAGGTGGACCCATTGCAACAATGAGATATACAAGTCGTTATGTCAAAAATCAAACTTTACAACTTTGGTGGGAGTGGGGGTGAGGATTAGGTGGGGGAGGGGGAGTATAGGAAGGGATGGGAAGGGGAAACAAAGAGGAGGCAACAATGCTTGATAAGAAATGTACTCGTTATCTTGCCCATGTAATTTAATTGTAACTCCTCTGTGCATTATTCTCACAATACAAAATTAAAAAAAAAAAAACATTGAGATTCCACCTCACCCCAGTTAGGAAGGCTATAATCAAGAACTCTAATAACAACAGATGCTTGAAGGGATGTGGACAGAAGGGAACCTTACTGCTTTGTTGGTGGGAGTGTAAACTTGTTCAACCACTTTGGAAAGCAGTATGGAGGTTCCTCAAAAGACTCCACAGAAAGCTCCCCTATGACCCAGCAATCCCACTTTTGGGCATTTACCAAAATGATCATAAACAAGACCATACTAAAGCTACCAGCACAACTATGTTTATTGCAGCATTATTTACCATAGTTAAGATATGGAACCAACCCAGATGCCCCTCAGTAGATGAATGGATCAAAAAAATGTGGTCTATATACACAATGGAATTCTATGCCTCCATCAGAAAGAATGACATTGCCCCATTTGTTAGGAAATGGAAAGACTTGGAAAAAATTATATTAAGTGAAGTAAGCTAGGCCCAAAGAAACATAGGTCCCATGGTTTACCTTATTTGCAATAACTAGTATATTTCTGAGACAAGCAGAAAAGGTTAGATAAGTTGATGTTAGGTGAAATGAACCCCAAGATAAGTATTCAAATGATTTTTCTTTCATGTGATTGTTTCTAACATATTTATAAGATGATTTCTTTGTTGCTTTGTGTGTCCCTCCCCCACAGTATAACCCCTGCTTTCATTGTATTTGATGTTGGTATAATTTGTGGAGGGGAAGGGCAAAAACAAGCAGTCTAAATAGGGATACAAGTGGACCCATTGCAACAATGAGATGTACAAGTTGTTATGTCAAAAACTGAACTTTACAACTTTGGCTGGGCGAGGACGGGGGCGGGGGGAGAGATGGGAAGGGATGAGAAGGGGAAACAAAGGAGGAGGCAACAATGTTTGATAAGAAATGTACTCATTATCTTAGCCATGTAATTGTAACCCCTCTGTAAAGTATTTTCACAATAAAAAACTTTAAAAAGTTTACAGGCTAAAGATTATTGGTCAGAACCAAGAAGGATACAGGGCTTTGAAGGATACATCTTGGATGTCTCTGGATAAGATAGCAGACAAATGATTTTAGAGATGAGACTCCAAATAGATGGTTCCCTAATGAAGATTTTGTACAGATCTTGTGTAGGCTATGCAAATTGATGTGTGGTGAGGTAGGACTATTCACAAACATCTTGCACTGGAAAGAAGCACTCCCCTATCCCACTTGCCCTTCATGATAAAGGGCAACAAAGCCTGAAGTTAATTCTTTCTTCTTTTCTTCTGCTCAGTTTGCTAGAAAATTCCTAGTCGTCCTTCAAGACCAAATCTCCTTCATTGTTGCTTCACAAAATTTGAGAACAATTACTATTTTTTAACTTTTAGTATTTTTTACTGTAAAAATACTGTACAGAGGAGTTACAGTTACATGAATAAGGTAATGAGTATATTTCCTACCCCCCCGTTGTTACCCCCTCCTTTGTTTTTCCCCTACCATCCTTTTACTCCCCCCCCCCAATTCCTCCTCCCCCCCCTGCAAAGTTGTAGTTCATTTTCAACATAGTGTCTTGCACATTTCATTGTTACATTGGGTCAACCTGTATCCTTATGTCAGCTTTTTGTTATTTCCCTTCACCTCCCCAAATTAGAAAAATGTGTATACAAGATGTTTGGCACAGGAATCAAATATAGTGACAACAGGAGTTATACCATGGGAAAAGAACATACAAAAGAAACAAAAAAATTACATAGTACATTATAAGTACATTAACAAAAAAAACAGCGACAAAGATAAAACCTCTTGTGTCCCTACCTTGGGGTTCATTTCGCTTAGCATCATCTTATTTGAGAACAATTACTATTAACTATGGCCTGTTCTAAGTACTGTAGATAAAAATGGTAAATATAGATTTTCCCATCATTTTCTCTATCTCTAGAATTATAGCATCATGCATTATCTCCAAAGTACATTATTTATTTGTTCAATTTTTCAATAACAGCCAGTGGCTCAGGCCTACAATCTTAACTACTCATGAGGCTGAGATCAGAGGACTGTGGTTCAAAGTCAGACTTGGCAGACAAATTTGAGAGAGTCTCTCTCCAATTAAATAGCATAAAAGCCAGAACTGGCAGATAAAACACTATCCATCAGTAAAAAATATCTGAAAGAGTTTGTGCAGCCCTGAGTTCAAGCCACAGTATCAACATATATACTAGTATATGCACATGCGCGCGTGCGCGCACACACACACACACACACACACACACACACATTTTCTTTTTTTAATTTTTTTCTCTTTTTAAAATTTTATTTATTATTTTTTGTTTATGTGGTACTGAGGAACTGAACCCAAGGGCTCATGCACGCAAGGCAAGCACTCTACCACTAAGCCACATTCCCAGCACCCACACCCACACCCACCCCCCCCACACACACACATTTTCAATAATGTGCTGAAAACTGATTTATCTTAAATCAAGCCTTCTCTACAATCTTCCTAAATCTAAGTAAGATATAATTTCTCTGCTCAGAGCCCTTCAATTCTCTTTTTTAGTTTAGGCAGAGTAAAAGCCAAAACTCTTACAATTACCTTTACCTTATCAGGGCACACCGCCTTGCAAATGTCAACTTTCCCAGCCAAGAGTAGTAGGAAGGGCAAGCCTGATACAGGAAGGGTCAGGTGGTGAACAGGTGGCAAGTGGCCCAGCTCATCCTTCAGGAAAGAGAACTGAAATCTCATTTCCACATATGGATAAAGTTGAATGCATTTTAAGCTATTGTGATAAAGAAATTTAGAAAAGTAGAACATGGGCTGGGAAGTTGGCTCAGTGGTAGAGCGCTTGCCTTGCATGCCTAAAGCCCTGGGTTCAATTCCTCAGCACCACATAAGCAGAAAGAAAAAAGCCGGAAGTGGTGCTGTGGCTCAAGTGGTAGAGAGCTCGCCTTGAGCTGAAGAGCTGAGGGACAGCGCCCAGGCCCTGAGTTCAGGCCCCACGACCGGACCTGAAAAAAAAAAAGAAAAGAAAAGTAGAACATTTTCCAAAAGGAGGAAATAGATCACTCTTTGCAAACTCTTAGAAAACTAAATTGGTCATCAATTTTTGATAATTACTCTTGCTCTAATTTTTTATTTTTTAAGTAATTGTACAAAGTAGTTACCATTCAATAAATCAGTTTATAAGTACAATGCTTCTCAATTGATGTCACCCCTTTCATTATTTTCCTCCATACCTCCCAACCCATCTCTTCCCCTGGATATTCTTAATTTCATAGAATATGCATTGGATATTTTATGACTGCCTTCTCCCACCTTCTCTCTTCATTCTTCTACCTCCTCTTTACTTCCCCTTCCACAACTTGCAAGTGACAGGCTCCTGGTACTCATATTGTTGGAGTATGAGTTCATTTTTCTCCCCCACAAAGACCATATCCAGTTAATACATTTGTGTGCACTTGCATACAACCCCTTGTTTACTTGTACATTTATAATTAGTCTAGCTTCCATGCACCCTTTTTCTCTCTGGACCTGACTTATTTCACTTAACATAATTTTTCCAGGTCTGTCCATTTCATTGCAAATGATGTCATATCATTGTACCTAATGAATGAGTACAATTCCATTGTGTATATATTCCCAATTTTTTGAATCATTCATCCATTGAAGGCCATCTGGGCTGATTCCATATCTTAGCTATGGTGTATAGTGTTGCAATGAACACAGTTCTGCAGTTCTGCAGGTGGCTTTACTGTGTCCTAGTTTGTATATTTGGATAAATGCCCAAGAGTGGAATTCATAAATCACAGAGTAATTCTATGTTTAATTTTTTGAGGCATCTCTAAGTTGCTTTCTAGAGCAGTTGAACAAATTTATATTCCCACCAACAGTGGATTAGGGTTCCTTTCCCCCGATCTCACCTGCATCTGATATTTCTCATATTCTTGATGACCTTTCTAACTGGGATGAGATGGAATCTCAGTGTTGTTTTGATTTGCACTTCCTTTATGGTCAGGGATGTTGTCTTGCTCTAATTTTTTTTAATTGTATTACTTCAAACTCCTATCTGCATTACGTAGTGTTCCCCAAACAACAAGCATTTCAATCCAACCACAAGTTCTGTGTTTTATCTCAATGTTCAAGGATACTAACTCAGTATATGAAGATAACATACTCATTAACATTGCATAAATGACTCATGCACGGACTGATTACATCATATTTTATTGCATTATAGACAGTCAGTAAACAAATCCCAGATCCTTTCCTCCATCCTATGAAGTCCTTTTTCATTACTATACTTTATACTCAAAGCTTACTACACAATGTGGGTTCCATATGCCTTGCTAAATCATTTCTGGCAGTCTATATGAAATGTGCTCTCCAAATATATTAAGTGCTTTATTTATAGTATCTACACTTAAGAATAAACATTCAAAAATCTTTTTTTCTATTTTAACAGAGCCCCAAGTTTCACATACCTGAGGAGGTAAAGAGAAAAAAGGACAATCTATTACATCCTGGAAGGCCTACTAGAGTGTTAACAAAGACCAGCAGCCACTCACAAGGAGAGAACCAAGATCTGGATAAGGTCTCAGGGTCACTAACAAACCATTTGATTGAAAGTCATCAAGGAGCAAAGACTGTTTTCAAGAAGTATAGTGAGATTAATTGGCCATTGGACACTCGGCCTTTAAACAAAAGTTTAATCAGAGACAACAAATGGAAAAAAATTGAGGTGACCCAAGAGGAACGCAGGTCCTTCCTACAGGAGTTTTGCAAGAAATATAGTGGTGCAAGTCACCCTCAATCACACCTCTTTCATATGGTATCTAGGATCTATGTAGAAGACAAACACAAAATCTTATACTGTGAGGTGCCCAAGGCTGGCTGCTCCAACTGGAAAAGAATTCTGATGGTGCTAAATGGGTTGGCTTCCTCTGCATACAACATATCCCATGATGCAGTCCACTATGGGAAGCATTTAAAAAAGCTAGATAGCTTTGACTTAAAAGGGATCTATACTCGTTTGAATACCTACACCAAAGCTGTCTTTGTGCGCGATCCTATGGAAAGATTAGTGTCAGCATTTAGGGACAAATTCGAACATCCCAATAGTTATTATCATCCAGTATTTGGAAAGGCAATTATAAAGAAATATCGACCAAATGCCTGTGATGAATCATTAAATAATGGATCTGGAGTCAAATTCAAAGAGTTTGTACACTATTTGCTGGATTCTCATCGTCCAGTAGGGATGGATATTCACTGGGAAAAGGTCAGCAAACTCTGCTACCCATGTTTGATCAACTATGACTTTGTAGGGAAATTTGAAACTTTGGAAGAAGATGCCAATTACTTTTTGCAGCTGATTGGTGCTCCTAAAGAGCTGAAATTTCCAAACTTCAAGGACAGACACTCTTCCGATGAAAGAACCAATGCTCAAGTGGTGAGACAGTATTTAAAGGACTTGAGCAGAACTGAAAGACAACTGATCTATGACTTTTATTACTTGGACTACTTGATGTTTAATTACACAGCCCCATTTTTGTAGTTTGCATTCATTGTTCTAAAACCCTGTATTTACTTAATGATGATGGCCTCAAATCAGCTACTCTAATTTTCCTATAATTCTCTGTATGAGGGAAATTTTTAACTAAATGCAGTTGTCCTGATTTAATGAGTTTTTTTTTTTTTTACTGAATAGGACAACAGCAATTGGCACAAAGTTATAGGAAAATCATCTAACAGAGACGCGTAAACAACTTGAGTTACTTTAAAACGTTTGGAAAAGAGCTGCTTTGGCATTATGGATCATATTGTTGAAGCAATAACCTAGCCAGCTGTTACATTAACTAAAACAGCCTCTTGCAATGGTAGAATAAGGCATCTAAAATAGCATGAATGTGTATCAGTATCCTGGAATTCATTGTCTAAAGTGCATGAATGTATTTTTTAGCAGTCTGTGCTGTATTAATCAAACTATTATATCATTTTCTCATACTCTGGAAATCTTTCTATCAGCTGTAATGATAAATCCATTTTAAAATGATATTTGGACTTAGGCATTTTACTTTAGATTAGGAGGCATCACATGATTTACAAGATGAGAATATAACACGAAAATAGATGAGACCCTGGCTTTTTATATTTTACTGCCAATAAGAAAATGCACAACATACTAAGATCAAAGCCACAAAAGCAGCCTACATTTTTTCCAGAAAAAAAAACTTGAGGGGATTGATTCTGCTTTCTTTTGTACAGTCCATGAAGAGACAAAATGAATACACCCACTGAAGGTCCCCATTTCTGAAGCAGGTGGTTGAGATGTTTATGCTTCATCAGATACAAATGTGCTCCTAATTCTGGTTTAATTGGACAGGAGGGAAATTGTTTCAGGATGGAATAATCATCAAAAACAAAAGTTGCCATTCTGAATCTAGACCTCTAACAATAACAAAGTTTTATAAGAATATTATTTGAATCAAAGCATCATGTGCATAGCCTTATATGTGGAATTCACTCTAAGAATAGCTTTTGTTTGCAGTCTAATTATTCAACTTGGGAATGATTTTTTAAACTAATATACCACTTCAAAGATAGGTTATGTTCTAAAGAATAAACATAACAAGAGCCCCTAGAAATGTTTTTAATAGGCTTATGCATAAGGAAATTAAGGTATTTTCTTTTTAAGTTTAAATATTCTATACTAACAAAGTCAAATACCATTGCATTCAAATATTAAATCAAAGTCTTTGGAAAATAGGACCATGTGTCACCCTTACAAAAAGTTTAATGCACTTTGGAAATTTTTTCCAAAGCAGTCTAAATTAAAAGACACATTTTAATGGGAAATTTATTTTAATTGGTCAACTATTACACTGAGTTAACCAAACCACATGCCAGTCAAACCCTGTATAAATGGCTTTGTGGCATTTTCCTCTTCTTAAGTTATTGTTTTAAATCAGCAAACATTCAGTAATGTCTCTCAAAGGAAACCAGATATTAATGTTTGAATACTAATAGACTTGCGATTATTATAGTCATACTTATTTCATTTTGATTTTCCATTTCATGGCTGAGTATCCAAGAATTGCTTCACTCTGTATGTACATCTTCCCTGTCTCATCTGTGTCTCCTGAGGAGTAAGTAAACTACAGCAGGCTGAGTGATCAGAGGTATTAAACCCTCCAGACTAACCTTTTACTACTTTTCCATTCCATTTACTCCTGCCTCTAGACCCGAGTTGTGTTTTACTCTAGAATAATCTAAATTATATAAATTTAAATTTTTCTATACTATAATGTGGATTTTCAGTAACTTATAAACATCGAGCTTGCAGGTAGATTGGAGGGAAAGTATTTATACATAATTGACCAAGCAATCCAACTTTTATTCCTAAAACTACGTGAAGCTATCTATATATGTGATTTGCTACAAAGGATAAAGGCCTTATCTTAAAGGTATTCCTAAAATATGTGTAATATACAAACAAACAAAATCTTTCCTTTCATAGCTTTGGAACACATTTATAACAGGGTCATTTGTACTAGCATTTCTAAAGCATTCAGGAAGCACAGGACACACATACACATACACACACACACAGCACATGAATTTATTTGGCTTTGGTGATAGAATGAGAGGATGAAATGATACACAGTGCTCTAAATAGCTATTTATAACATTTTTGTTTAGAGTAGTTAGTCCTTATCTGCAGCTTCAGTTACCTATGGTCAGCCATGATATGAAAATATTAAGTGGAAACATTTGAGAAACAATTCCTAAGTTTTAAATAATGTACCATCCTAATTAGCATGGTGAAAACTGTCTCCCACAGCTGGGAAGGTGGCTCAGTGGTAGAGTGCTTGTCTTGCATGCATGAGGCCCTGGGCTTGATTCCTCAGCACTATCAAAAACAGAAAAAGCCAGAAGTGGCACTGTGGCTCAAGTGGTAGAGCGCTAGCCTTCAGCTGAAGAACTGAGGGACAGTGCCCAGGCCCAGAGTTCAGGCCCCACAATTGACAAAAACAAAAACAAAAACCTGTCTACCTCCTTCACTATTTCACCTCAAACAGGAATTATTCCTTTGGCCAATATTTCCTGTTGTATATGCTAGCTACACATTAGCCACTTTATAGTCAGTACAGTTACCAGATTGACTGTCATGGTATCACAGCATTTGTGTCTAAGTAGCCTTTATTTAGAGACCAAATGCTTCGTCACAATGCCTGTACTATTTGTATCACTTCTCATTATGTAAGCATTGTATTAGCTCACATCATCACATGAAGAGTAAGTACCATCCATTAAAATATTTTGAGAGAGAAAAGGCTGGATCTCCCATAAATTTGAAACTTACTGTCATACTTGTTCTATTTTATTGCTAAATTCTTGCTGGCCTGTCTTACTTTGTCCAATTTGTAAGTAAACTTAATTATGCTTATCTATGTAGCGTTAGATACAACCTATAGACTCAAGTATTCACTGGGCAGCTTGAAGCATATCACCCCATAGATAAAGTGGAAAAGGTTAATTTTTCATGTTCCTTTTCTAGCTATTTCCACTGAAACTGTGTAGCTACAGATGGTTTTTCATTCTTTTTCTAAACAAAACCTCTAAAGCTGACAGAGACCCTGTGTTTCTGTGTGCTGTGGAAGATAGATCTTTGCCACAGAAGAACAAACTATTACCTGTTCTTTATTTTAAATGATTCCATTATCTTGGACCCCGTGTGATTTTAAATACCTACTTCATTTATCTCACTTGAACTCACAGCTCACATTCCCTGTTCATCATTCCTGCCTCTTTGTATAAATCCATGCGAGAACATTACTCTTCTTTGGATAGTCACAAATTCATGAATTTAGTTTCCAAAGGCAGCTGACTAAATCTAAACTCATCTTCCAGATATCCAATGTCTGCATTTTAACATGAGCACACTTGAGGTGTCATCCATGTCCTCTAATTAAACCCAAAGGGCAATAATTGTTTTCATAGACAGCAGTAACAAGAAGGGCATATTCACGCAGTTATTCACACCTGGAATTAATGTTACAGTAAGAAGGTTTCTGTTAAATCCAAAACCACAGTTATTTAACCTGTAAACTGCTTATGTGTATATGTGATTGATGTGATTGTAAATTGATTGTCCAGTGGACATGTATTTGGAAGAGACCTAACTTTCTGATTGCCTCACGTGTGTTTGGAAATAGTCATTAACTCAATCGAAAAGTCAGGCCATGTGCTGTATTCTCTAGAATTTAAAAGCTACTTAGGAGAAGAAAAGATGTTTTTATACTTTATTCATGAACAATTATTTTTTAGAAAGGTGTTATCTTCTAAAATCTATCATCATTGTCTATGGCCATACCACCCCGAACGCGCCCGATCTCGTCTAAAATCTATCATCTTTTGTGGAGGGGAATATATACGCAGATGAAGACAATATTGAATATTAGAGTTTCCTTTGAAAGTATATTACACTAAATTAGTAGAATTTGGGATCTGCAAGCTGGGACCAGAGTAAACAAGTCCCTGTTTATGTTCTCATTTGGCCTCTTGGGACATCTTCTGCTTATGGGCCTTCCTAGGGTATGGAGATATAGAAACACTGCCATGGCTGATAACCCCAATGTGTTCTGACATTTGAAAATAGGTTGAGCAAGAACCCAACCACCTGAGTACTTTAAAAAAAATACTTTTTTATCTGACCTATAGAACCATACCTTCTCAATCTCAATCATACTTATTACAACATTAACAATTATACCCAGCATTTATTCAATACTTACTGTCAATTAGTCACTCTTTTAGAAGTTCCCAGGGCTCAGAATGTAACTCAATGCTAGAGTGGTTGCCTAGCAGGCAGAAGCTGTAGGTTTAATACCAAGAAACACACACATACACACACACACACACACACACACACACACACACACACACACACACACATAAAAGAACTATACATATATTAATATGTTTAATCTCTATATGTAATCTAACTTACATGCTATTATAAATGGTTCCTCTCTATCCCATATAAATGAAGGAAACTAAAAAACATGTTTAGATAACTTTTCAAAAGAGACACAAACAGGTGCTGGTGGCTCACACCAATAATCCTACCTACTTGACAGGCAAAGATTTGGAAGATTGTGGTTCAAGACCAGCCCTGACAAAAGGTTCCCAAGACTCCTTTGCAATAACAGGCACAGTGGTGTACACCCGTCATCCAGCTATTGTGAGACACTAATTGCACATGAATCATGGTTATAGGCCAGCCAAAGAAACATAGTTCATAAGATCTCATCTCCATTTTTTAAAAAGCTGGGCATAGTGGCATAAACCTGTCATTCCATCTACAACATGAAGTGTTAATAGGAGGATTGCAGTCCAGGCCAGCTCAGGCAAAAAGCAAGACTGTATCTCAAAAATAATCAGAGGTAAAAAGGCTGGCATCTTGATTTGAGTAGTAGAACACTCACCTAGAAAACACAGCTCTGAGTACAAACCCCCATGCTGCCCTCCCCAAAAAATTTTTAAAAGATAGAGGAAGAGGAAAAAAGAGGAGGGAGAAAGAGAGAGACAGAGACAGAAACAGAGACAGAAAGTGTTGACAAGTAGGTAGGGAGACAGAATAAACCCAATATCGCTACAAAACTCTTCTCTCAGAATATAATAAACATAAATGTTTACACTTACTTTTTCCTACCTGTATTTAGAACTGCTAGAAGTGAAAAATGCCCAATATAATCTTAAAATATTTTGATACAAATATAAACATGTAGTAGTCAGGTAGGTAGTTACTACTTTCACAACAGCGTGTCCCTTTATTCCTGCTGAGTTAAACTAATAGATTCAGAATTTTTAAGAGAAATTTGTCTTTCTTTTTTTTTAACCACCACAGTTGATCATGTGACATAATATTTTTGAAAGAGTAAAAACATCCCTGGAACAAGTTTAACTTAGCAATTACACAATATAGTTTTCACAAGACATTCCAGACAAGAACAATCAATGTCAAGAAGAATATAGTCTAAGAGGGAGAAAAATCCAGGCCAACTTTCTCAACGTAGATACTTGCTAGACACTGAGGACAGACATGACTCTATATTGAAT